AAACGATGACAGACATAACACAGCAAATCAGCTAATTAAGTCGATTAACAGATACGCAAAAACTAATTCATGACAATATACAGCCTGTAACTCGTGTATAACTCGCACACTGCTTCTACAGATTATTAACTTACAGTGACATGAAAGTTATGATGATGTAAAAGAACGTACTTAGTGAGGGCAATTTCGTGGGACACTAAGTCGCTGTTCTGACTAAGAGTACAAGTTGTACTACCTCAACTTTTGTTTATTTTGTACACTGTGAACATAAAATGTTGAATCTAGTAAATCAACATTCCTTCCATCAAAACACTCAGTAAATAATAGTTTGACAAATATTATTAATACATTCAGACATTAAAATAGTTATAACAAGACGAGCTAATATTGAAAAATGTGTTAGGGATATATGATTTTGAAATCCCGAATTGTGGTGAAGACCACATATTTCTCATTCGATTATCACAAGAACTTATAATTTCCAGGCAATGATGGGAAAAACAGAATTATTTTAAGTGAATTGTTTTAGACGTGCGGGTTTATATGAATAAAGTACTATCTTGTTATTGGCTTATGGGAGATGCTGATTGTTTACCAATCCACTGATGTTTATGTATAATTACATTTTGTATTTCGTTTTTTAACCTAACACATTTCACATACACGTGAACCATGTGTTACAAATCGACATGAATATAACATTTGATTTTAAATATACACACTTTATTCGCCGGGAATCTCGTGTTCTCTCCGTTTTACTTACAGGTGAGGATTGGTTACTTGTAAATGACGAAACCCCATTTGAAGAAAGTGTAGAAGTATTCTATATTCTATAAAATACTTCCAAATATTTATGTGGAAGAACCCAATAATTGTAATATCAGATCTTGAAATTCCAGGGGTTAATTATGATTTTTTGTTAAATTTTATTTAACTAAATACACACGACTAGCCGATTTTTCCTTCAACTCATAAGACTACAGCATTTATGATCAATATCAGTTAGTTGTTAGATTCCAGTGTGCTTATTCTCTATTATCACAAAGATTACACTGTCAACACTGATTATATCTGAGCAGAAACGTATAGTACAAAATTGGCTTGTTTTGCTATGACACAGCCTTTTACGCTCTATGTAACCGAAATTTCAAAGAAAATATGATGCCCATATTTATATGAATCTTTGTTACATAAGCTTAGAAAAGTTTGTAATACCGATCAAAGCACCAAATATCACAACCTGATTTTTGTTGTCCTCTACAACTTCATTTGACGAATTGCATTATTTCACTTAGCCACACCCCTGAAATGTTTCACATTATACCGGAAGTGACCACACAACGCTACTGCCTTCAGGAGACATTGCAAAGCATTCATCATAGCTTTGTAATAAGTTTCATAATTGTTTTATATGATATGGATATTGGCTTCTATTTCATCTTGAAGTGACATACTTGGTTTTAACTATGAGTCAGAATACAGTCAGATACAGTGAGGCGAGATTTTGATAAGATTTTGGGAGACTCGGCGAATGACTTTGACAGCGATGACTTGGCCATTCCGGTGTACGATAAACGATGTTGGTAGGATACAATACAATTACATCATTGTCAAAAGTCACTTGATGTAACCTGCAATGTTTTATGAGCACTTGTAATAAACATGGCGTCCTCCCAGTAACGATTACGGCATGAATCCGAGTTTTTTTAATTAGTTTACAGTGCCTATCAGGTATAGCATAGCGTCAAAAGTTCCAGAAACCAGAAACAAGTCTTCATCTCAGCACTGACAGAATCTGAGAGCATTGAATCACCAGAAGGTGACAGATTGATGAATGAAGTCCATCTTCTATATATGTTTCTACACAGTCCCTCTATCCCTCTATATGATATCATATGATAGAGGGACTGTGGTTTCTAGAACTCATGCTAAATCACAAGTCTGACAGGAAGTCGCCATATTTGCAGCTGAAAGCACATGTACAATAATTTCACTCAATTTTAAGTGAGTACAAGTAACACAATTCTAAACATTACTGCGAGGGACGCTAGTACAATACGACGTTTCATACAGATTATACTTGAAAATGACTGTAACACTAGATTCAGGTGCAACTTTAGATCCTCCTAACGGTAAAATTAAGCTTTATGAATGTATAATTTTAAATCCATTGAGTCCATACATATTATTGGTGAAAACAAATCAGTAAATATGATGAAGAGTAAGCTTTATGAGCCAATTTGAATGGAGAAAATATTAGGTGATTATATTGTATTTTCACGGGGTTAGGGTGCTTACAAGGTGAATACAGCATAGAGGTTGACTCAACAGTTAAACCAGAACAGCATATACCACGGCGCGT